AGTCTTCAAACCATTGAACTCACCTCTCATATTGCTTGCTCCATTGTAACATTGCCCCCGTAAACTTGTCAAACTCAATCCATGCTTTACAAAAAAAGCATCTATTGCAATTTTCAAAGACTTTACAGAAGTATTCTTAACATGCACAACCCCGATAAAATGTTCAATAACACAACCTATGTTGTCCACATAGCAAAAAACAATAGCCATTTGTTCTTTCACTGCCACATCACAAGATTCATCAACTAGTAAAGAGAATAGTTGTTTATCTCTCACAATTTCTGCAATAATTTTCTTGGTCGTCAAATGAGCACAAACACTAGTTAATTCCCTTTGGATGTTAGAGGCCATCATTTGATGGTTTTTTGGAGCATTTTCCAGACAACTTTTTTTATGTCGTCATTATAATTGGATAGAAACTTCAAAAGTTCCATAAAGTTACCTTGATTTTCAGATTCAATCGACTCGTCATGACCATGAAATGCCAATCCTTGATGTAAAAGAAATCTAATGCAATCAATTTATGTATTCAAGCGAATGCGATAGTCCAATTTGACCTTTTTCGACACGCAAGCAAGATTTACATCGATGTGTTGTCTTTGGTTTATCAAATCAACACACTTAGCATGACATTGGTTATGAGTACTAGAATGATCTCCAACATGTTTCTTCACTTTCGCTTTATCTTTCCAATTATTAAATCCATTACTCACAAAAACTTCACCACCTGCTTGGTCACGATAATCAGTTTTGAAAAGATAACAATTTAAACAAAAGATGCAATCTTTCGCCACACTATATTCCATCCAACTTGAACCTTCTTTGTACCACTTTGGTGTAAACCTACGCTTTTTATCTCCGAAAAGAGTGAAAGGAAAGTTATGATCTTTAGGTTGACAAGGATCTTTCAACAAGTATGCTCTTCGAACTTCCTCTTTTTGCTTGTCAGTACAACAAATCTCTTTAATTGGTATCCTCAATCTTGGATCAGTTTCAAGCTCATCTAAATTGAACATCCCAACCGAAGGTTGAGCTTCTTTTACTTGGTGTTGTTGTTGTTGCTGATGTGTGGCTTCTTCTTCTAATGGGATTTGATTAACCTCAATATCAATAGAGTCTCCACCAACAATTTCTGCTAGAATTTTCTTTAATCTCTTGAAATAATTGGATATCATAGCTATCAAATAAAAAAAAGATAATATGATACATGCAAAGAAAGACCGATGAAACTTTAATTAAAAAAATTACAATGATTGACTTATCACGTTTTTAGATTTAACAATTAGATCTAATTAAAATATTGTTTTAGCAATTAATTAATCAATTTATTGTGTTAATTTTCTTATATTTAAAATCATTTTAGAGAAATTTAAAAACTTATATAATTTGCTAATCAATTTTTTGACTTATTTAAATTATTGGCATAGACCAACTAGATTTAATTTAATTACTATTAGAGCATACTTAGTCAACTAATCACATTCTAAAAATATCATTATTAATATATTAATGATTGGTGTTGTCCTCTAATTATATAAAAAATTAATTTTATAAATGTATTTGTGATATCTAAAGTCACAAATTAATATTCAACCAATTACAAAATCAAACAAACACAAAACAAACTTACAAGATTTATAACTTTTTTCATCAGAATAAAAAATCTCCATAAAAACAAATATGATTTAACCCTAGAATAAACTAAATTAAAATAAATAATATATACACTTAAAACTGATATAGCATAAAATAGTCTTCAAAAGTTATAACTTCAACTGAGCCAATAAGATAAAGAGAAAGAGAGGCGCACTCCCTAAATAAAATCAGGGATACAAAAATTGTGATTTTATAGAAATTGGCCGCATATGGCATATATATAATGTATTTATACTAATAATTAGTGATCCCCATAATATTTATGATGGGTGAGCCTCTGCATTACGCCATTACCATATTAGCTTTTAGCTTTAGTTTGATTGTGGGACATATGTATTATACCTTTTTGATATAAAAATAATTAATTATAAATATTGGTAAATGTTTTTCAAAATCTGAGGGTAGGACCAGGCCTACTCTCAAGTATGCTGGATCCGTCCTTGCATCTTACTATCTTTTGTAAATATAACGTATAATACGGATATCATACGTATAGTATAGGTACCATATGTAATTTTAATAAAGATAGTAAGACGGTTAGTAAAACTCGTGAGTAAGCATAACATTATTGTAAGGTTAATAAGGTGAGAAAGTCTATATTAGCACGATGGTATTGCTGATGTTATATTACAAAGCGATACATGTATTCCGAATAGTTATTATACTTAATAACTATCAATCACAATTAACTAAATATAAAGGCCAGTAAAAAAAAAATAAATAAATAAATTCAGAGGTGACATAAGTTCACTTGAGGGTGGTAATGCCCCAGTTGTATTTTAGAGTTTTCGGATGGGGTGCGATAGTTTTACCAAACATTGAGGCTTCGTTTGGTTGGATTTTGGGAATACTACTTTTAGTATTCCCAAAAAAGTTAAACAGTAAAATACCCAAAAACTCACAATATTATTCAACTTTATTCAACATTTTTTAAACCCTCTAAATTTGTTAATTCAATTAAATACCCCTAAATATTTTTAATGTTTTTGTTACGGCGACTCCGGCCACCCTCCGGCGGTGGTGGCCGGCTGTCCGTATTTGAGGGTGGATTGGGGGTGTTTTTGTTAACTTTTAATGTTTTATTATAAGGGGTGTTTTGTAAAAAAACAAACATAGGGGGTATTTTATAATTTGTAAATCCTACATCGTAATACCCGCCCAATTCAACTTTTTTTTTAACTTTTTTCAAAAAACTTTTCCCAAAAACACAAAATTGTGAACCAAACGGAGCCTAAATTTTTTTTACAAGCCTTTGACTGTTTAAACAGAGAAAATAAAAATAAAAAATTGGAAAAATTTAATAGTTAATGTGGGTCACATTACATCCGGTAAACCACCCACTTGTGACTGGACGGATAGAGGGGCACATAAAGGAAAATAAAAATCGATGATAAATTCTTTTAATTTGTTTACGGTACAATAACAAAAGGACAATCTTTGTTTGGATGCCCAGAAATTGACCATCAAAAGATATTTAACCTTGAATTATACAACAAATATCAATCTTTTTCCACAAACAATGTTATGAAAATTGGACCGAAAAGTAACTCGGTTAAGTGCTTGATTTTCAGTGCAACTGATTTGACTAGCAAATCGGATCAATGACGTCAGAAACTATATATATATATAATGCTATATTTACTCACGAGTTTTATTAACTGCCTTATTATTTTTGATAAAATTATATATGGTATTCGTACTATGCATATAATATCCATACTGTGCGTATGGTATCCGTACTATGCGTATAGTATCCGTACTATACGTTATATTTACAAAGAATAGTAAAATGATTAATAAGATCGTGAGTAAGCATAGCCTTACTCTTAACCTTATTTTATTCGCTTTTAATCATAGAGTCTAATTATAATTAGAAAAAATGGACGATCATCTTCTTGCAATTACGCTTGATAATTTTTCGTTAAATTTTTTTGCATACTTCCATCTAGTTAGAGATATGAGTTAAATCTTCTATAAAGAGTTTATAGGTGTTGATTTGAATTTAAATAAATAAACAGTGAATGTCAACCAGAAGGACTAACCAGTTATGGCGAAGACATACAATAGAAAGTAAATCCAATCATAAAATGCAACTATAGATAAATTGAGTTAATATATGTAACAAAAAATAGTAGTCATTATTTAATTATAATTAAATACTTTTAAAATGTTTCACAAATAATTTTGTGTAGAAAGAATTAAGTTGTAAAAGAAAAGCATAGACAGTAAATTAAATTTAACTATCTTTAAGAAATTCATTATTTTTTATTATAAATATTACTTAACCGTGCAAGACACTTGGCAACTCATTTGGCTTCTTTTCAACGTTTCATAAAGCAAGTCTTTGTCTCTAAGCTTTTTGAAATTCATAGCAATATGATTTTTTGAAAAATTTCTCTCTTTATTTTGCTTTTCGTGTCTCCTTTAGCAAACTTTTTGAAAGATAATAAATTAGAGTAGGCTTATGGTTAAACTTTTTAATAGAACAAATATTATGAGGGTAGAGAGGAAAGAACAAGGTATATTTTTACAAGTTAATTTTTCATGTGATTTATGAATAAGGTAATCAAAAGTTCCATTACCTTTCTTTTCTTTTCATTTCTCTTTTGTTTTTTTTCATGTTAATGGGCGGGAACTATGTAGTGCAGCCCAGAGATACCCTAGCCCGTTGAGTATTTTCTTATTAATTTATTCATAAGTAAAATTACAATTTAGGACAAAGTAATAAAAGATTTTTAAATGAAAACGTTCAAATTGATATTAAAAAAAAAAAAAAAAAAAGGAATAAAATTGGTAATTTTGATATTATTAAGATATATGATAGCATTTTTGAAAGAAAAATTTCAACAAAGGTTCCAGTTCATTCAACAAGAGCAGAGTCTCCACTTGAGCGGGTGGAATGAAACTTAATTAAGTGGCATCATTACAAGTGAAGAAAACAAAGATCACATCTAAAAGGCCGAACTCTTCCGAAACTAAACAAATTCAATCTCTTCCAAAACAAAACAATTCTCGAATCGAACTTTCATCAAATAAATTATTCTCATAATTTCTTTATGCACCACTAAAAAATAAATTAAAGAAGGTTTTAAAGGCAGACGTCTTGCCAAAAGAGATGTGGTTTAGGGTATGATTGATTCATAAGATTCATTGTCCATGGGCTAGGCTTGACCGCTTGATGACTGAATTAAAGTTTGACGAGTCTATTACTATGGACAAAATTACGCTTAAAGACATTCCCCGTCATCACAGGATATAAGAGACGTATTTCAATGATAAGAAAGTAAATGTGCATTGAAGGAGACATACGAGTCTGTAGACATATGAATTCCAGTATAGTGATAGAAATCAAAAATATTTTCCATAACTATCTTTGGACCAAATTGCAAGCTAGAACAAGTAGTAAGTTGACCACAAACGCACACATGATGTACAGAGACCCAAAAGAAACACATTTAGAATCAATGATAAGCATAAGACTTAATTAACAAAATGATGTGCTAGGTTGAGACAGTGAACTCACCAATATGAAACTAAAATTTAAGTCGTAAAAATTAACCAAACATATAGGAACATATATAAGATACCATAATATGAGGCGTTTTATTACTTACCTTGAGCTGGATTCGCCTTTAAAGGAATATGAAATTTTCAATCTCTTGCTGTGTGTTTCCTCTTTCTCCTTCTCCTTCTCTTTCTCTTTATCAACCTTCTTATCAAATGGCGGTGTCACTTTAATTGGAATCCTTTCCCCATCATAAATAAAATATGCCCCACACTTTTTCACGTTGCAACAACCTATGCGTTTGGCATTTAAATCCTCAACATAAAATTGGATGGTAACACCTATAATGTTGAGGTAAGATCTATTTTTTCGTGAATGTGGACGAAAATCAAAACCCAGGAAAACGTGATGCGAGTCCACGAATTCAGGTCCAGTGCCATAGTCCCAACCCTTTAAAGCACCACGGTGCCGTACTTCAGTCCAATTACGACGAAGGCTTCTGAACTTGTAGTCATAGCCAACCACCAAACCTTGCCCCTCGTTATGGTAGTTTTGAAACTCTACAATAGCGCACACAGCAAAACGACAAATTTTACTACCGTACGGTCCGTACCGCGCTGATTCTTCTAAGTGAGTTACAGAAGATCCCTCACTTTGAAAGTTGAACCAATTGGGAATTTCAATTCCAGAAAAACAGATACTAGCACTCAGATGTGGAAAATATCTCTGTATCCAAAAGGAGAAGAAGAATAAGAAGAAAATATTACTAACTTTATTAAAACTTTGAAAGACTCAGAATAACCAAAAAAAAAAAAAAAAAAAAGTTCTCTAATATTTCTTTTAACATATCACTTCCTTTTTTTCTAAAGAAATTCGTATCATATGAATGAGCAAGAGAGAGTAAGATCACCTTAGAGTGGATCAGCATAGCATCTGCCACAACTTCTTCGAGTACATTTTGATCCATCCTGTAGCAATTGCTAAAGTTAACTCTCACGTTTCCCAAGACAGTTTTGGGAAATCTTGTTGACAAACTTGATGATACTTTATCTGCTGTCCAACCGTATGCATCCAAGCATTCAAGATCACATAAAAGGCGAGGTAAATTTGATACTTCTTTTAATGATGTACAATTGTGTGCATCAATACCTTTTAATTCATGAGGAAGTTTTGGTAAGGATTTAAGCCTCTCACAAAAGCTCAAGTCAAGATAATATAACTTAGAAAGGTTTATGATGCTTGTTGGAATGCTCTCAAAATAGTTTCTGCCAAGAAGTAAACTTTCTAGTGAGGATAACTGACCAAAATCGTTGGGTAATTCCTTGATACAACAGTTGGTCAAACTTAGTTCCATCAAACGTCTCGAATGTACAATGGATGATGGTACTACAATTTTTCCAATTCTCTCTGCTTTAAGCACCTTGAAAGCTTCCAATTCAGAATGCCCTAAGTTGTCCTCCTCTAATTCAGAATGCCGTAAGCTGTCCTCTGGTCCAGGATGCCCTACGCTCTCCTCCTCCGCTTCAGAATGTCTTAAGTTTTCCTCCTCTGCTTCAGAATTCCCGAAGTTGTCCTCCTCTGCTTCAGAATGTCTTAAGTTCTCCTCGTCTGCTTCAGAATGTCCTAAGTTGTCCTCCTTTACTACACAATGTCCTAAGTAGTCCTCCTCTACTACACAATGCCCTAAGTTGTCCTCCTCTGCTTCAAAATGCCCTAAGTTGTCCTCTTCTTCTTCAAAATGTCCAAAGTTGTCCTCTGCTTCAAGAAGCCCTAAGTCGTCCAACAATCCTTCAAGTTTTGAACACCCAGATAGATTGAGATGTTCAAGAGATTTCAACTTGAAGATTTCACTTGGGAGACTTCTAAGCATTGAACAATTCTTAAGATTCAATGTAACAAGTTTGGATAGATTCGTTATTGTTGGAGGCAACTCTTTTATTGCAGTTTCATCTAAATATAACTCTTCTATATTACGTGCCATCTCCGGATCATATGTCTTAAGACTTGAGCAACAGGAAAGGATAATTTTTTTCAGAGATTCCAAACAAATGCACGTTGGAAGAGTATGAAGGCTTTTGCAATACTTTAGATTTAAGATAATAAGCTTAGGAAGAGACTTTAGTACTGTCGAGGAAAGTTCAACCATACTTGTACAACCTTCTAAAATTAAACACGCAACATTTGGAGTCAATGAGAGATCTTGAACTTTTAGATGCCTGGAATAACTGAGGTCAATATGTTTCAACTTCCAAAGCTACAAGAAAGCAAATAAATGATCAATAGTACAAATTTGTCATGAGAAATACTTATATGGATAGTCTCACAACCTCTAGCGGATGTGATGAAACCTTCCAATAATATAATGGTATGTGTTGTCACATATTTATCAAATTTTCTCTTTCATCCGCCCATCATTGTCATTACGAATAGCTACACGTTATCATTCATCAATAAACAACACCATAAGAGGTAGATTTGAAAATTGACTGTAAATGTTTTTGTTTTATTGGATGGTCTCACAATGTCAACTAAATGAGATGGTGAGCCTGTCCCATATAAGTTTTTCTCTATCTACTATTGATAACTTGTAACAAAGAGAATACCTTGTAAAAAAATATTACCTGGTCATCAGACGGAAGTTGTTCGACATTGCTATAACGCATGTTAAGTGCAACAAGGTTCTTTAAACGAAAATTTGACTTCAATGATTTCAACGGACATCCATCCCAACAAAGGTATCTTAGCTGAACGGAAATGGAATTGAGGCATTCAGAAACATGCACCTTGTTGATGTTATTCTCTTCATAATGTAACAAATTATATAGTTTAAAGAATCTCAATTGATGCATCTTGGCGAGGGCACGAGGTTGCAAGTTTATGATCTCTCTCAATTTAGACATGTCCAAACATATGCCTTGGATTTTTTTAGCACCCTGTTGATCAAGAAGAAATGATAATTAGCATAAAATATTTAAGAGCATATCTAACGGTTAGTGGTAAAATAAACCTTAAATATATAATATATTCTTCCGACTATTTTCAGAATGATCAATTATATAAAACATACTCTCTCCATCACCTAAACCCTCTGTCGCCAAAGCCAATGCACAAAGGAAAAGCATAAACATATATCTTTAAGTTGATTCTTTTTCAGAATTATCAATTATTAAAATATACTCTCTCCTTTACTTAAACCCTTTGTCGCCTAAGTTAATGCACAAAGTAAATGTCATAAACAGATTTCTCAAAGTTGAAATTTAATATATCTCGCATGTATAAAATACATAGTTACGGAAATAATGTCTTTTAACATTTACCATATTTGCCTCTAATACATGTTGTATATCTTCATGATGCCATAGACGACTGTATCGACCAAGATCATTCATTGATGCATCTTGTACAATTTTCCGACCCATTTCTTGAAGTAAATCATGCATTGTAATCTTGTTGTCATCAGTTTCAATAACAAGACACTTGTCTACAAGAATAGTTATTGCAACTTTTGGGTGGAAGTTGCAGGCATCGAAGAATTCTTCTGCAAAATTTTTACTCTCCCCCTTTAGGAAACATGCAATGTCTAGAAATATATCCTTCTCATTCTCATCGAGTCCATCAAAACTTAATTTTAAAACTTCATAAATGTCCTTGTGAGGAACTCTCTCTAGTTTCTTTATTGCACCTTCCCAAAACTCTTTTGGCCTATCAAATAAATAGCAACCCAACACTTTAAGAGCTAATGGAACGCCTTTTGAATAATTAACAAACCAAAGCGATAGGTCAGAATAATCTATTTTCGGACAATTGTTTCGAAAAGCATGTGTACAAAAAAGCTGGAGAGCATTACAAGGAGATAATCCCCCAATCTTGTATATACCATGTTCATCCACACCACAATTTTTTAGAACTTGTTTATCTCTTGTTGTAATAATAATTCGACTTCCTCCACCCAACCAATTCAGATCTCCAATCAACGATTCTATTTCAGTAGATTTCATAACATCATCAAAAACAATGAGAACTCTTTTACGGCCTAGCCGTTCTTTTGTGAAGTTGAAATCTATATTGGAATTCTGATCCTCTAGGATTGTAGAAAGAAGTTCTCGTCGTAAGAGAGTTAATGTATAATTATTGCTTGACTTTTCCCTTACATCTCGAGCGAAGTAAGAAGCATGAAACTGACTCTTAATATTGTTGAATAGAGCTTCTGTAATAGTTGTCTTACCTATACCACCCATTCCCAAAATTCCTATAGTATGAACATTGTTGAAGTCATCCAAGTGCAGTAAAAATTTAATTATGTATTCAACAATTGGTTCTGTTCCAACCAAGCCCGTTTTTGCAACTGGAGCTGACATCCACCTCAAGATCTCCATAATATCTTTGACAATTTTCTCTGAAAGCGAATCTGGATACCTAAAAAGTATTGAAGACTACTTGTAATAAGCATAACTAAAGAAGAAAGAGAAAAATATTTAATTTCAATTGAAGTTAATAAATTATCAAAGGAAGAGGTCATTTCATGCCGGTTATAAATAATAACTAGAAAAAAAATGGTATAAATTATTTATAAAATTTAATGATGTACCTGGTGGTTACAAAAAAGCATCTCAACCACAGATTTATTGATGTATGTGTCATAAGATCTATAGCAGATTAAAGCTTAGAATTGAAACTAAAATACTAAACTGAAGAGTAGAAACTTACTTGCGCTCTGAACTGAAGCAGTAGCCAGCTAGATTGGCTGCTTGTATCATAGCCTTCTTCCATCTCTCCACCTTATCTTTAAATTCTTCTTCCGTCATTTGTAGCTTCTCTAACTTCTCTTTGTTATAACTTTTTACAGGTTTAGCAAATCCATCCCCGTAAGCACCCGTTTGATTCCTTATATGTGATGGATCTACGCGAAAGAAAACTGGTAATACTATCTGAGTATATGTTTTTTTGCATTCAATGATCTTTTCCAGTTCTTCAAGACACCATCTTGAAGATGCATAACCTTCAGAGAAAACGATGATCGAAATAATTGATTCTTCAATTGCTTGAGAAAGAGAAGGAGAAATTTCTTCTCCTCTAATAAGTTTCTCATCATCAAAATATTGAATACCTTTCCTCCATAGTTCTCCAAGTAGAAAAAGGGTAAATGAGGTGCGAGTGTCCTCACCTCTGAAACTGACGAAAACATCGTGCTTCTTCTTCCTCACTGGAGCAGTAGAGGAACTAGAGGATGCCATCTAAAGAATGTCAAAACGCAATCTCAAGAGTATAGCTGTATTATCGCTTAAACAGGGTGTGAGTTTACTAGGTTAACCTACCACAATATTTTATGTTAGTCTAGGCATGTTTTCTTGAATTCCGAAAGATTCCATTTCTATATTTATAAATTAAAATTCAAACTTGAGGCGAACAACATGCAGCCACCCATAGTTTTCCATAAAAACATTTGATACCCAAAAGTTTGAAAATGACAATTACCCACTTCATCTAAATCTGTTAGTAAAACTATTAAGTAAAGATAATATAGTAATTTTATGTCCATTAATTTTAATTAACCTATAAATCCCTAATTTTTTTACTTATTTTTATTTCATTTTTTCTCTCCTCTCTCTTATCTTCTTCTTCATCTCTCCCTTTTCTTTCTTTCCTTGTCTCCGTCTTTTTCCCTCCTCCTCTCTTTTTTACTTTTCTTTCCCTCTTTTCCTTCTCTTTCTTTCCTTTCTTCTTATCTTTTCCCTCCTCCCCTTTCTTTTTCCTTTTCTTCTCCTCTTTTCCCTTTGGTCGTGGCAAGAACCCGTCTTTCCTCTTTAAGTTTTTTAATTTTTAATTTTTTTTTCAAATTTTTATAATTTTTTACAGTTTGGGTTGGAAGTGTTTGAAATTGTGGTGGTTGGTGGCGGTGGTGATGGTTGTATTTGGTGGTCTTTTCCTCTTCAGTTTTTTAATTTTAATTTTTTTCAAATTTTTATAATTTTTTACAGTTTGGGTTGGAAGTGTTTGAAATTTGTGGTGATTTGTGGCAGTGGTGATGGTTGTATTTGGTGGTTCTGGTGGCGAGTTCGGAGCTGGTGGGGTCCTGCAAGAAGAAAGGAAGAAAAGAGAAGGGGAGGAGGGAAAGATGGAGAAGAAAGGAAAGAAAAAGGAAAAGAGGGAGAAGAAAAGGAAAAAAGAGAGGGGGGGGGGGGGGGGAGAACTGGAGAAGACGGAAAGAAGAGAAGGGAAAAGAGGGAGAAGAAAATTAAAAAAAAAGAAGGGGAGGAGGGAAAAGAGGGAGAAAAGAAAGAAAGAGAAGAGAGATGAAAAGAAGATAAAGAGAGAGAGAGAAAAGTGAAATAAAAAATAGATAAAAAAATTAGGGATATATGGATTAATTTAAATTTAATAGATATGAAATTACTCTATTGTCTTTATTTAAATAGATTTTGCTAACAATTTGATAATTATCATTTTAAAACTTTTGGATACCAAATTGTGTTTTTGGCAAACCATAGGTGGATGCATGTCGGCCTTAAAATTGAAAAGAGCAAACGACATAATCCCACCCGAAGTTGGGGAAATCCCAGTTAATACGGTTGGTTCAATTATCCATTTTGCCACTCTTAATCTAACAGTGTTAATAACGGATGGATCTGATACAGTGACAGTGTAACAAGACTGAAATACCCTTGAACCTTTGACTTTAGATTATTTAACAAATAAAATCTAAATAGACTGTTAAAACCAAAAATGCCCTATATTTAGTTTATTTTCCAAAATAGTGAAATTACCCTAATGCCCCTAAAACGTTTGAAAGTTCAGCAACAATTGTTGAATGTTGAGGGTTAACTGTATAATGGCAAAGTAATATTTCTTAAAAATGGCATACATCCTGAAAAGTTTCAAGTTTGAACACAAAACACATCTACACAAAACCAACATCAAAGACATACTAAAATCATACATACTGAGAACAACACTTTTGCATGAACATATATATATGAAAATACAATAATTGGCCTTGAAATGTGATGATCAACAGCAAAAAACAGAAAATTAAAGCTGCATATTACATCAAAAATACCCACTGCAGCAGTCCTAAATCAATTACAAACTTCACAACAGACAACCTAAATCAGTTGCTATCTGTCAATATTATCACACCATATTTTCAGCTTTGCACGCCAAGACTAACAAACAAAAGTCCTATGTACAACTTCCCCAGATTTTACCAAAATACAACAGCATACTTCAACTCACACAATCCAAAAAAACCAACATCATGCTCTACAGTTTTAACACACCCAAAAACAACAACAATGCTTCAACTCCACACTGCTTAAGTACCTGAAAAAAATCATAAAATCAATTTAAGGGGGCCCTTGACAGTTTGAAGCAATGTCACAATGTTAAAATTTGAAGGACTGATGTTACACTAACTGCTACCTTGACAGTTGCTTCAATGTTGACATGTCTAACTTGTTGGGGCTGATGAAGCTTCTCCTCTCTAAACAAAGCATAGAAAACAATGTTAAGCAAGCAAATTCTATTACCAACAATACTAATATGTTAAATAAAAGCTGTAAAATACCCTTGATTCTTGTTGTTTGAATGATTTTGTGGGCAGCGTTCTTGTTATGTCCTAAAGTTCGACAGATCCCACACTAAGTGTTGCACCTTTGGTCATCCTTGATTCTTCATCAGCATCCTTTTTTTTGCCTTTTTGGGCCTCCAACCTTGCTATTGTAGGTGGATTTAGCTGCCTACCCCAAGCAAGTCAGGCCAACTAAGTGGGTCAGGTATGGGGTGAATGTGATCAGCATTGTTTTTACGTATGAAGTGATCCTTATGAAGAGTAACACTCTCCAACTTTCTAATGTTCTAAAAAGCAAACAGCGGACTGCATGCACACAAGGGACTCCAGAAAGTTGCCACATTCCACGTCACAAGTTTGAGATTGAAGGTTTAATATGTAACGTCTACTAGGAAGGCAGTTGTTATCCACCACTTCAAACTCATCATCCCAGGTCAAAAAGCTTCATATATCCAGCAGACTCAATTAGACCATTGATTTTCCTATGTACAACAGGGGGAACAGTTGTGACCCAATCATTCCTAGCCTTTGCCTAGCTTGCATCTGTACCATAACCTCCTCCTTAATGCTCTAACAAGCTTAGTATGGGTAATTCTCTATTCTCTCCCAACCAGCTATTAAAGACTTCACAATGTTATTGTAACATGATCAGATTTGGAATCAAGGTCGAATGCATGCCTTGACCAGGATCTCACAACATTTTCATCATCCACCTATGAGCTTCTCTATCAACAGCTTCAACCTTTTCCATGGCTTGCTGAAAATCAATGATTGGCCCTACTAACAGCCCAAAACAAGTTCCTAACCTCAACCCAGGGAATTTTTTCCAAAGTTAGCATAAACATGCCTAGCAAAATGTCTAACACTAGCATTTGGCCAACAGGTTGTATAGCATCACCAAACCCTTCTGCCTATCACTCATGATAGTGATAGGGTCAATGTCCCTATAAACTCTTCACACAGGTCATAAAGTATCTCCATGATTCCGTTTTCTATCTCACCAATGGGAATTGCTATGGGAAAATGCACAGTTAGCATCCATAGAAACTGCTGATAATATACTCCACCATAAGGCCCTTTAAGATGGCAACCATCCACACCTATAAAATGCCTACAACCCTCTATAAAACCTTTCTTTTGTGCTGCAAATCCTAGGAAACACCTCTGAAAGTTTGGAATCCTTCTGGACTAACAGATTTCACATTATACATGGAACCTGGGTTGGTATGTTTGACAATGTGATCATATTTCAACAAACCAGTAAAGGACTCTGCATGTAGCTTGTCTGACCTCCCTTCGCAGCTGATTAGCTCTATAAAGTTTGGATTAGACAACTGTAGATAGTGTTTCCTACCCAACTCGTCTACCAATGGCTTAATTGATGAACCCTTTGGGATCTGATGAAGTCTCCCATTTTTTCAGCCACCCAAGCAGTTGTTGCCTCTCTATTATTATAAACCCTCGTGCATGTATGTGAATGCTATACTTCCTAATCTGAAAAGACACATCATCAGGCATCAAAGCAGCATATAGATGAAATGGACAGTTTGTTTGCTACATTTAGCTTAAATCTTCTTCTCATTGTGAATCTTCCTAACAGAAAACCCCCTCTGATTACATAATCTCGAAACCCTTCCTAAAGTGATCACTCCCTCAAACACTTGACCAACTTTGAAGTGGATTTTCCATTATCCCCATATGCAAACTGTTGACCCTTCAGTGCTTGCTAAAATAGTTACTGCATCTTCATCATCAGTAGACCCTTCATATGAACTGTCCTCATGGTATTAGACATTTCCCCTTGAACTTCAATGTCCTCTACCCCACCACTACCTTGCCCAGTTTGACCCTCTACCCACCATACCTTGCCAGATTGATTTCCCTCACCCCACCACTTCCTTGCCCAGTTTCCATTCCCTTTACCACCCCACTTTCCTGTCCAGTTTCCATTCCTTTAACCACCCCACTTCCTGTCCTCCTGCCACTCTCATGGTCTTCTTCATGATCACTTTCTCACTTCAACACTCCAATAGAACTCATCTGGAATATCCTCTTCAGCTTCCTCATCTCTGCCTACAAAACCCTCATTGTCCTCTGGGTGGGCTTCTAATAAGTTCTAGGTTCAACAAAGTCAGGTATGGCTTCTAAAGAGACTCTTATCACTCGCTTGCCAAAACTCTTATATTGCTCAAATATGAATTCCATATCATCATCCCCTTCCACTATGTATCTAGCCCCTAACGGGTAGCTCAACCTCTACCTTAAACTTCTCATAAGGGTTCATTTCGACAACCTCATTCTCCGAAGCCACACATCGTTTCACATCTTTAATAAAACATATATAACTATACTCATCCGGATCAACATTTAGTATTTCATATTCAAATTAAACACTTCAACTTTAAAGTCATAGGAATTTGGTTTAAGCCTGCATAAACAAACAAAACCAAGCAATATAAAATAAAAATCAACTGCCACCACCCTACCACCACCCAGGTACGTGGCATTGTTACACCAGATGTCGTCAACCACTGCTAGGCAGCATTTAGACAGTTACTGGTTCCAGCCAATATACCAAAAATCTCCCCAACGCCACCATAAAAAAATCAATGCCACACCTACAAGCCCATCACCACCACCCACTACCCCAAGGTACGTGGCATTGTTACACCAGATGTCGTCAACCATGCTAGCAGCATTAAGACGTACTGGTTTCCAGCCAATATACCAAAAATCACCCAACGCCACCATCAACT